TTATTTGGACTATCAACGAGCTATAGGATTACATCATGCCCTCCATATGAAAGGCAGAATTAATGTCTATGAGGCAGCACCATCTCTGCTGCCGTTTTCCTTTAGCAAATTGTCTCCTTATTTAGGTCTGCTCCACTAACCAACTGTCCAGCACTACAGTGAACATAAGCAGAACTTGGGTGTGTGCATAAGTAAACATTTTGTCACCATTATGTACATTTCACAGAACTGAAGCTGATTGTGGGAAGTCATTCAGCACCCATCACACAGTTCAAGACCTTAAGAGGCTAAAACAGAACAAAAGCTCTGAACAGAGAAAAACTAAGAAGTGCAAATATATTTCAACAGGAAACAACAATCAGTGAGAGCAGGTAACTTCTTGAAGGACTTTTACAGATGCAAGCATTCTATTAAAGATACAGTGGGGAGGCAACATATGCCAAAATATTTGTAATAAACACTTCCATAGAGGAAAACTATTACCTTAAAAACCATTAAGGCTTTAAGCTAGATGTTACAAGATCCAGGTTCTAGACAGGCTCTGAGAGCGCCTTATTCTTTGAGGCTGGACAGATTCCTGCACTCTGAGACAATTACAAACACCCACTTATTTTACAGTTAACCAAGATTTTAAAAACAAACCATCCAACCAAATTTAAGTTCTAGTATTAGAGGCATGAACACCAGAGATCTGTAATGAAACAAAATTTTAAAAAAACCTTCCATAAGTCACATTCTTATGACACTTAGTCAAACACAAGCTCCACTAAGTTTTGCTAGCTCACAGTTGCTTGCATAAAGACAAAAACTGAATAAACATACTAGTATGATTTAACCCATGTTAGTATTTAAAACTTCATTCCTGGTACATTTGAGTTTACAATAGTAGCAAGACTGATCTGGGCCTAAGATTCAACAGAGACTCTAGGCAAAAAGGTCTTCTGTCCCAAATGACTAGAAGTTAAATTAACTTTACATGGAACATACTGGTTTATGACCAGTAACAGGAAAACCCGCCTCAAACATCTTGTTTCATCAAGAACATTACCAACTGCCTGGAGAGTTTCTGAAAACCAGTGATTAGAAATTGCTGCAGACAAATTGTAAATTCTCAGATGGAGGATTAGAATTAATATTTTAAATATATTTAGCTTCCTGGTTTTGTTTTGCTCGCTTTGTTCAATTTCTTTCATGATGTCCATCTCTTTCACCATCAAAGTAACATTATTGGAATTGAATATTCACATTTAAACATTATTTGTGCTCGAAACTTTTCTACTCAGTTTCAGCCATGCATGATAGGCTTACATCCTATCCAGGAAACTGAATTCAACTCTACATGCTCCATTTAAGATTCGAGATTACTGCTAAATCAAAAATAATCCTGAAAGAATTTATTTTAAAATTCAGCCATTCTTAAGCAGAAGTATCCATAAATGCTCTGCATCAGTTCATCTTTAATCACCCATATTAAGCTGATGCAATTTACCAAAACATTCAGTGCTGCACCCAAGAGACTCAGCATCTTTTCTCAAGGAAGAACAGCTGTAAACCCCTAGTCCACTTTGCATCAGTAACCACAGACGCATGAAACGTGCAAAGCTTAGTGTGAAGCTTACTGCATTGCATGGGATTCTAGTAAGATTCAGTATAAGGAAATCTGAATATATAAAAAAAATAAACAGAAGACTACAGAAGGGAGCAGCAAGTAACTCCAAAAGCCAGGAACAGCTTTGTGCAGCAGCAAAGCTGACCCTCTGAGAACCTCACAGTTCCACTGATAGCAGCAACCTATTCTTTATAAATTTCATAAACAAAAACTAAGTGGGATGTCCTTGAAACTTAAACATGGCAGTTTCAAGTTAACCTACATAGACTGGGGAAAGCAAATGAAAGCAAGACACCTGTTTTTTTATTTGGGTACCTTCAAGTGAACAGGATGATGTTCTTTTCTAGGGTTACACATCTGAGAAATGGTATTTACTTGGAAAATTAAATAGTTAAATACAGAATACATGCTTTTTTACTATGAACCTGTCTCCTCAGAGTGAATGCAATGAGGTTTTCCCAAGTAATTCTGCTCAACAATTCTTTTCTTTGAGGATTTAAATCTGAACACTGTTTTGCTAAGAACCATTCTATTTACAATGATTAATTCAACAGCTTCAGATACTCTGAAACTAATTTATTTTCTTAATCTGTACAACAGACCAGACTTCAATATTTTTAATGCCATCAGACTGCAAACAACAAGAGGACCACAGCTGATGTTGCATGTTTTGGAAGGGACTCAGACAGTAAGGCAGGAAGTTTTATGCAGGAACCACAAGCATGACCTCAAGGCACAGTAGTCCCCTTCTATTACAGATACTATACATGTTAGCTAGAGGGTAAGTAACAGGTTTGCCTGAAGCTGATTTAGTTTTAGTATGCAGCTGAATCCTACTAAAATTTGTATCTACAGCTATAAAGTAGACTTCCAAACCCAACTATATTGGTAAGAAGTACTCTATGCTTTGTATTACACATATGTCCAGCCACACAAGAGCTATTCTGGGGAAGAGAAACAGTGGTAACATAAACAAGTGTCTTAATATAGGAGACACTTGTGATTATTAAAGTTCTGGAACTTTAACAGTCACTAAACAGTTGGGTTCCATGTAGTTAAGAAATATCTTTCTAACAGGTGCAGAATGGACAAGACAGAGCGATCTGTGTTACGTAAAAACTTTCCCATCAGCAGCTCTTAAGGTCTTCAGCATCTGCTGGGACAGTGGTGCCTGGATGCCTGGCAGTCTTAGTGTCTACAGTATCTTTGGAGACAGTGGTGTCCATGGTACACAATTCTCCTAGCAGACAGATCTCCTAAGACAGTGGACCTAGTGTTACATTAATCTTCCCAGCGTCTGTTCGGATGACTGCAATATCATATCCACACTAAATAACATGTCACAGCATCTGTATTGTCCACTCCCCACAACTAATATCAAAAAATATTGTAGAACAACAGCTAATCAAAACCAGAAAAAAATCTAAACAGAAGATGCAGACGATTTTGTTTAAATATCTGTGTCTTCGAAGTCCATTTCTATACTAGGAGACTTAACTGTAACGAGACATTTCTTCAAAAACCTTATTTTACATTCTCTGGTCCTTAAGAAAAACTACTTACTTTTAAAATCCATTACTTGTCTCAATTGATTTTTATTTTTAAATTTTATTAATCCTTACAAATCAATACACTACTTTCTAGACTTCATACTTTTATTTGATATACTGATATACTATAAATAAAGAATTCTCTGGGTTTTAGAATGAAAAATACTTGAGATGAAGTCTCTTATTCAGCTCTCCCAGAAACAGGGAGGTATGTGTGGGGGAGTTATTTGGGGGGGGGGGGGG